TTATGTGTAAAAAAAAAACAACAAAAATATTTGGAATTGCAAAAAAACAAGCCATTCGTTTACCTTTTTTGTGCTTTATTTATGAGTCAATTCAATACTGTTTGGACAAATGAATACGGATTTGAATGGATTTTCTTTTGAAATTTGATACTAACTAGCATCTGTCTGTGGAACGCAAGCAAAACATATATAATTGGTTTGATAAGAGTTTTGCGTCGAAGCGTTTCTTCGCCATGTAAACAAATACGACAGTCTCTCTTGTTGGCGAGTGTATCTGCTCCACTGCGATGCATTGTCAGCAAATTTGGTGCAATGTTTATTGGTTTTCCAAAGAAAGATTCAACAGCAACTCGAGTTGTAAATTGAGATATGACTTTTGGGTTGTTCATACGGTTTTCAACGTTTGCAAGAACCAATGATTTGGCTAATGTATTCAAAAATGAACGTCTCGCGTCATGTTTAGGTAGCCCATCCTTTTCCTTACAAATAATAAACGACGCCAATCCCATAATATCCAACATATTGAAAAAGAAAGCCACAGTCCAACGGTTGGTCGGTCGTTTTGTTGAAAAATGAGTCGCCATATGGTCCATGTAATCGACACTAGCTTTGTTGATATTATAATACAGAATTGCTTCTGGTTTTTTTGCTTCACCTCCGACATTTGTTGTATAATGGACGGTTGAAATCAAATTTACGGCTTTGTTTGTGTAATGGACGCTGTGGATTTTTCTTCATTGCAGGCGGTAAAAACGCTTTGTTGGCTCGAACTGTACCGACAAACGCGAGACCAATATTGGCCAGCCGTTTAGCTCCATTCAATGTTGTGAAAAAATTATCAGCAAAACAATCGTTCGTCCACTGTGACTGTAATTTTTCGACAATTGTATCAAAACATTTTTGCCTTGATTCACCTCACGCTCGTTTCCTTCTTTGCCTGTGTATAATTTACCTTGCAATGGATATTTTGTCTTTGAATCGCATGGCCACCAAACTTTTATTCCATATTAAGCTAGTTTCGGTGGATTAAACTGGGTGAATTTAGTTTTACCACGATATGGAAACAACTGCTCGTCAATGGTTACGTTTTTGGCGAGGCTTCGTTCAAAAAATTCCATATATCGCGAATAGGAGCCGCTTTGTCGGATGCTTGAATATATCGGGCCAATTCAAGGAATCGTCTATATGACATAGCACGAAAGATGGGCAAAACATCTGAACGCCACAAAAGTGCTGACTCTTGCATATTATTGTTTGTAACACCAGCAAAAAGTTTACCAATAAATGAATCAAGCTCAGTTCTAGTCAAATCAACCCAAACTCTTGACTTTGAATCTAGATTTTCTTCACTCCATTTTTGAGTAGCAAATTTTGCATTTCGATTTGTTTCAGTAATAATAATGATTGAAATATTCGGCGCAAAAAAACTTTTGAATACCTCAATCGGAACCGATGTTGAAAGTTTTGGACAAGGTCTGAATCGCATAATATTATGCTTATCAAAATCATGCATATGTTCATATGTTTCCATACAAAATATACACGATTCGCTATCTAAATTTTAAGTATGTTAAATTTATCTCCAAAAACGAAAAAGGTCTGGCCAGACCATGGTGTCGGACGGATAAAATGATCGTATTCACTCGTAGCTAATGAGACTCTCTAGCTGCCGAGCGGCTGCTCTTTAAAATGCTATAACTCAAAAACTATATGAGATATCAATTGGGAATTTTAATATGTTATTTTTAAAATCTACCGAAATATAAAAACAGATTTTTTTTGAAATTTCACTTTAGGTTCGCAATCGCCAAAGCTATGTGATTTTGTGATCGAATGCTCGCAAGTATCAGTGAATTAGGCATGTCTTACCAGTGCCATCTGCTGCACCCAAATAATAAAATCCTCCTTTCTGTGTGGCTATCATTGCGTTGATTTTATTGTATAAATTTCGTTGCTCAGAAGCAAGCAATTGTTTTTTATTGGCAACATAAGTAGCCAAAGAGTTTCTATCAAATTGCTATTCGCGTTGAGCATCTCTGTTAATAATAAATGTTGCTGAGCGATTAGGTACTGGCATGCCAAAATGCATTGCATTGCATGCAGTATCATTGACTGTTCGCAAAGATTGGAAGGATGTTGGTCCAAGGTCGTTTATTAATAACAAACGTAGAAAAAACGCATTCACGTTGCTTAATATATACTGTGTATAGTCGGCCTAAAGAATTTGCAATGAATATATCAGGAAATCCTTGGACTGGAATGGCTCGTTTTCGTTGTTCCCAATTCTTCGATTGTTTATTCCATGTGAAATACTTGGGAACAACATTATACAAATCTTGTCGATTGCGAAGATTGAAAAATTCAGTAAGAGTAGTTCTTGGAGCTGTTAAAGCTCATTGTACTGCAGTCTGTGCTGTGAAGTAAACATGCTGCCCATTTTCAAGATGCATAGCCAAATGTATAACGGCTGGATCTCTCTCATGTATAGGAAAACTATCGGCCCATTTGATGACGTGTGATTTCATCATTGTCGTTTACATTTTGGACAGCAAATATAACTTTATCACTACCTATATGAATGTACTTACAAATATACTTAATAGACTTCACCGAACTACATAATTCAACGTTTATATTGTAACGTACCCGGTTCTCCGGCTTATAGCTGGGCTATCTCTCAGCCGGATTATGAGTCTCTCCTATAATCTCGATTTTAAAAGTGTAGGAAAGGACAACACGAATGGTTCTACGTTACACAGTTAGCTTTATTTTCGAATGTTCTACTGGCAGCGTTTTCACGACACTCCATATATATCTCTATTGGCAGCGTTTTCACGACACACCATATATCTTAACCGTATCGTACTGGCAGCGTTTTCACGTCAGCCGTATATCTCTATTGGCAGCGTTTTCACGACACACCATATATCTTAAACTGTATCGTACTGGCAGCGTTTTCATGACACACCATATATCTTAACCATATCGTACTGGCAGCGTTTTCACGTCAACCGTATATCTCTATTGACAGCGTTTTCACGTCACATCATATACTCTACTTCTATCTATTCCTATTGGCAGTGTTTGCCCGTCACACCATATATTCTAACTACGACAGCACAAACAGAAGTGTCGTATCACTGGTGGACAGTTATGCACTGTCTTTTGTTGGTAGGCCAATCGCCTGATCTCCTTTGCCCTACTTAACAGCGGCGGCTCGCTACGCTAGTGCCTAGTTTAAATGTTTAGTACTTATTTATATTATGTACATATACATATATATATATATGTTTAGATATGTAGGTATATATTGTGTATAGAAATATATTTAATTATCTCTATGCGTTGTGTATATATATGTACATATACATATATATATATATGTTTAGATATGTAGGTATATATTGTGTATAGAAATATATTTAATTATCTCTATGCGTTGTGTATATAGGTATTTCATGTTATATGTATATATATATGTTGTAACTTCTCTGATGTTGTTGTTGTTCTGGCTGTGGAGGCTCCAAGGCCTCGGACTTGGGGTCCTCACAATATGTGTTTTGTAAGTTTTACACAGCAATGGTATGGAACCACCCAACGATTATCAATATCTACTCTTACACGAAACACGAGAGATGCAACTCATATGAATTTTAGATAACCATCGTGGAGGTTTACTACATATTTCATTGTGCATACTTGGTGACGTCGTGTTCCAAATGACTCATGAATCATGTTAGTAGTCACAATGCCAAATAATTCTTGATCAACATTTGGATCCACTGAGATAATGTTGTCTATTCCTTCTGGGTACACTTTATCCTCTAACCAAATCAAAATATGCGCGTGTGGCAATCCTCGTTTTTGCCATTCTACAGAGTAAAGCCAGCAACGTGTTACGCCAAATGCTGAGTGATGTGTAATGAAATTTATAAAAGATTTTAATTTTTGTTTGAACACGCGTGCAGCGACATCATGGCGATGCATCGATGTTTGACCTGGCAACAGCAAATTTTTAATATTATCCCTGTTTTAATTACATGTAAATGTAAATGAAAAGATATAGCCGACCGGAGGCACATACATGAGTTATTGTAACTTGAATATATTCCTCCAAATGACGTGAACTACCAGGGTATGATGATGGAAGAATATATGCGGTGGCTATGTTGTTATATTATTTGTTCATCCACGTTGCTGATAATGGCGTCACATAAATGAACGTAATCCTCAGAACGAACTTTTGCTTGATTAAACTTTATGTATCGTAATCTCTCAATTTCAATTTTCGCATACATGTCGACAATATACTGATGAATAGGTGCCTTAATTAGCACGAATCATCAACCGGTATGCATAGAAATTCATTGCACTAACTTATTTGACCAGTACTTCACCTACTGTGTAAAATGTTGTATAATCAACAACAATTTATAAATAAATAAATTCATTGTTGAAACATTATCTAGTTGATCTGATTGTCGTTCTATATCACCCTCAAGCCCCCTTGAATACTCACGAAAATTTTCATCTAAATCGGCCCAGCCGTTTAGAAAGAGTGCAATCACAAACACACGGTGAGATATGGCAACCCAGATAATAGAAACTCTTATACCATTGGAGTTTACAATACACACCACACTCATATAAATTGTATTAGCACATATTCTTTTACTCGTTAATTCTCAAGAATGAAAAAGAACACTTGAATAAAGAATTTATACCAAATTTGCTTTCGTCGTTTTATTTTGCATTTTCGTTCATACTACTTCTTTGACTTCTATCTATTCGCTCAGTTAATATTTCGGATACCAATCGATTATCATCGCCGTATTGTTAACTACTAGTAAAATATATATTTTAATTTATTTCTTTTTTTAATTTATTTATAAACCAATATATCACATAGATACATATTGATACAATAAAGGTGTATTTTAAAAGTTTACAAATGCATTTATTATATGTATATACACATTCACAATCATAAAATTTGTCGCATTTATAATTAACTTCTTTAATAATTATTGTTATAAAAATGTTGCTATTCGTAGCACACATAGTATTTAGTACATGAATATTAAATATCTTTAAATTTAACACATTATCCTTTTTCAAAACTTTTTTGGCAGAATTAACATAGAAACACTATAGGCATTATCATCATATAATATTTAAAACATTGCAAAGTCCAACTCAAAGCAACTTTATTATTTACTAGCACGCTAACCGTTTTACCCTGTAAATTATATAATAGCTTAATTATTTATAGTTCTGCTAGCATTCATATTTTTCGGTTGATATGAATCAACTGATAAAATTTTTGGCATATCGCTTTGTAAGTATTCATATTCTTATTTACATGCGCTTACGTTATTTTCTGGCACAAATCAAATTGTTTTTAGTAGACCAAACACCGTCGTGGCTATATTAAGACTTTTGCCTTAGGCAATGACGACAAAACCTGAAATAAACAAAAAATATTGTTATTTGCAAACATTATTTGTGTTTGATAAATGTCTGGTAAATGTCCAACAAAAATGTAAAATTTTCACAAAACAGGGAAAGTATTTATAATAATTTTAAATGAGAAAAAATATAATTAAATTAACTTTCCTTTAGGCCTTATTTAACCAATTTTAAGTTAAACAATTAATCGCAATAAAATCTTTGCAAAGAACATAGCTATTTATTGTATATAAGTATGTACATATATGCATATTTCGTTAACTTACCTAGTTTTTCTGTTTAAGCTCCGCTTCTGGGATTGAATACATTAAATCAATCTGTAATAAAGTACTGGCATTCACCCTGGTGGATGAACATCACGCCACAATTCGAATCAAAACAAAATTTTTTAACACATCGCTGATTTGCGCCCAAGCACCGACGGAAGAGAAGGATTATTTAGCCAAGCCTTTAGAGCGCCTAGATTACACTTATGAACGCTGACCTGGCCACGATGCCGAAACTGTGATTGGCGACTTTAACACAAGGGTTAGCAAAGTAGGTGTTTTTGTGACAACAATCGAAAAATTTAGTCCTCAGGCTGATCGACTTCGTCGGAGGCCGAAATATGGTTGTCTGTGGCACAAGATTGCAGCAAAAGAAAATTCAAAAATCTACTTGGCTTTTTACAGATCGAAAAACTTACAACCAGATCGATCATGTTGTGATAGACGGAAGAAATATTTCCAGTGTTTTAGAGATGCGCACGTTCCGAGGTCCTAATACTATCGGTCGAATCACTACCTTGTCGCAGCGAAAATGCACAGAATGTCGAGCGGTTTTCTACTCGACTTGCGCACCTTCTCCGTGACAGACCGGTATAAGGCAACTGTGGGATGGTATTTCAAACTCTTCACGTACTGCTGTAACCGAATATATTGGTCGACGTTCTCATAATGCGCAAATGGTCCGTAGCCATCGAACGAACAGAACAGTAGAAGAGCACTTGACAACTAATTATAATGTAAGAGAACAATTAGCAAACTTACGTGCAAGTCAGAATTCAGAGCAACGTAATCAATGTCTTCGTCTTCGTCAATGCATTAAGGCCCTCTCGTTGCCTCAACATCAACGAGTGACTGACGCTCACAGAGCAAATTACCGGCAGCGGATCCAAAATCGTCAAGCATTAAAAGCAACAACATTTAATCGTCTTGCGTTTGAATATGATCCTGAAGTAGATTATTCATCATATTCGCTAATTATGATTGGTAGTATGGACAAAGAAAAATTTCACTGCCATCACTGATGCCGCCACCAAAAACTTTGAAAACGGTATTAGCTGGAAACACATCACAATCAAAGTTATTTTTGCGCAAAACTCGTAAATTTAATTCGTGCTTCCAAATGACCTCACTTGAAGCAACAAAAATTTTTCATAATGAAGATGGTCGCAATTTTCTATCTTCATTCCAGATTCAAGGCCAAGTGTACCACCAAATATGTTCATTGCTTCCGATGCCTGCCGCCGATCCGAAACTCTTACAAATTTATTCATGGACGATGAGGAAAAACAACTAATGTGCATACAATCGTATAGAGCAGATGGAGGAGCGTGAATTTTTGGAAACGTTCTTGCAAAACAATAGTCAATTAGTACGATTATTAAAATAAAGTGCCTAATTAAGAGCATTCAAGCACATATAACGTTCGAAATGTGAATGAATTTGCAGTTGTTATGGCTGGTGATCCAACTGAACTTTAACATATACATATACAACGCAGAGATAATAAAGTACAAATAATTCAAGACCATCATCGTTCTTATGATGCACTGCAGTATCCTCTGATGTTTTGGAATGGAGAAGATGGATATCATTTAAATATCAAACAAAGTAATCTAACTCCAGGTGAAGTACTGGTCAAGAAAGTTAGTGCAATGAACTTCTATGCATACCGGTTGATGATTCGTGCTAATGAAGGCACGTGAAGGCATTCTCCGATGCATTTACGTGACGCCATTATCAGCAACGTGGATGAACAAATAACGTTACAACATAGGCACCGCATATATTCTTCCATCATCATACACTGGTAGTCCACGTCATATGCAAGAATATATTCACGTCGCAATGACTTATGTACGTGCATCCGGTCTGCCAGATCTTTTCATTACATTTACATGTAATCCAAATTAAAAATTTGCTGTTGCCAGGTCAAACATCGATGCATCGCCATGATGACACTGCGCGCGTGTTCAAACAAAAATTAAAATCTTTTATAAATTTCATTACACATCACTCAGCATTTGGCGAAACACGTTGCTGGCTTTACTTAAAAAACGAGGATTGCCACATGCGCATATTTTGTTTTGGAATGTGGATAAAGTGCGCCCAGAAGAAATAGACAACATTATCTCAGCGGAAATTCCGGACCCAAATGTTGATCAAGAATTATTTGACATTGTGACTACTAACTAACATGATTCATGAGCCATGTGGAACACGACGTCACCAAGTATGAACAATGAAAAATGTAGTAAACATTCACCAATATCAATGGTTATCTATCAATCATATGAGTTGCATCTCTCGTGTTACGAGTAAGAGTAAATATTGATAATCGTTGGTTGGTTCCATACCATTGCGATGTAAAACTTACAAGCACACATAAACGTTGAATTATGTAGTTCGGTGAAGTCTATTAAGTATATTTGTAAGTACATTCATATAGGTAGTGATAAAGTTATATTTGCTGTTCAAAATGTTATCGACAATTAAGAAGTCCCACGTTATCAAATGGGCCGATACATTAGTAGTAACGAAGAAATTTGGCGCATTTTTAGTTTTCCTGTACATGAGAGAGATCCAGCCGTTATACATTTGGCTGTGCATCTTAAAAATGGGCAGCGTGTTTACTTCACAGCGAAGACTGCTTTAACAGCTGCAAAAACTACTCTTACTGAATTTCCAATCTTTGCGAACAGTCAATGATACTGCATGCAAGCAATGCATTTTGGCATGCCAGTACCCAATCGCTCAGCAACATATATTATTAACAGAGATGCTCAACGCGAATAGCAATTTGATAGAAACTCTTTGGCTACTTATGTTGCCAATAAAAAACAATTGCTTGCTTCTGAGCAACGAAATGTATACAATAAAATCAACGCAACGATATCCACACAGCAAGGAGGATTTTATTATTTGGATGCAGCAGATGGCACTGGTAAGACATACCTAATTCACTGATACTTGCGAGCATTCGATCACAAAATCACATAGCTTTGGCGATTACTTAATCAGGTATTACAGCCACTCTATTTGATGGTGGAGGAACTGACCATTCAGCATTTAAATTACCTCTAAATGTTAATGAGAAACCACAATGCAATGTGTAACATAAAGAAAAATGTAAAACATGCTGAAGTTCTGAAAAAGTTCAAAATTATTATTTGGGATGAATGCACAATGGCCCATAAGCATTCGCTAGAAGCTCTTGACAGGACCCTGAAAGATATAAGAAATAATCGTAGGCTTTTCGGTGGTGCTCTGCTCTTGCTGTCTGGTGATTTCAGACAAACTTTGTCTGACATTCCACGTGCAACATATGCGGACGAAATAAACGCATGTTTGAAAGAGTCATATCTATGGCGACATGTCTGTAAATTAAGCCTTACAATTAATATGCGCGTACAACTCCAAAATGACCCATCGGCGTTGCGATTTTCGGAACAATTGCATAACATTTGAAATGGTGAATTTCAATTGTAAGAAGATACACAATATATTAGACTTCCAGAAAACATACAACGGTCACTACCTGGTGATGAATTTACATTCAAATCAATTGACACTGTTGTTGATTCGGATGAAGTTGTCAACTATCCTGTAGAAATTTTTAATTCACTGGATTTACCTGGCATGTCTCCACATAACTTGCGATGAAAAATTGGCTCAACTATAATTTTGCTTCGAAACTTGAATGCGCCAAAGTTGTGTAATGGAACGGGATTATTCATAAAAAAAATCATAGGCAACATTCTTGAAGCAACTATTGTTCCTTCAGATTCACCTATACCATTCGATTATTATTAATAAGGCGCAAGGTCAAACAATGACGATTTGTGGACCAGATTTAGAAAATCCGTGCTTTTCTCACGGCCAATCATACGTTGCGTGGTCGAAAGTGGGGAAAACATCGAATTTATTTGGTTATACTACTTAAAGATTAACCAAAAATATTGTACATTCGATCGCATTACGATGATTTCAGAATTTATAAATAACTAACACTAACAATAAATACCCTTTAAAAACTAGTTTAAATTGAAACGATTTTTTTAATTAAACACAGCTTCTACATATAACATCTCTGAACGTATAGTAATACACATACTCACATGCTGTCGATAATGTTTATCACAACGGTCTCATTGTTTACATTTAAGACGCGTGAACAGAACAACGTCTGTCGGGTCCGCTAGTATAAGTATTTATACAATGTAAAATGTATATATGTATTTACGTATTTATTGCAAACAGGTTTCGAGTCTACATATAACAGCATAAATAAAAAATCATACTTATTCATTTACTGTTAAGATAACAATAATAATTATATCATTTTATTTATTAGTTGTTAAGCTAAGTAACTAATGTGACTTTGTGTTTGAGCAATATTTTATTTTAATTCTATGAGAGCTTATGTACCTTTGAGTTTATTTCTTATATTTATATTTCATTACACATGAAATGTTATATATACTGTTGTTAATGTTGTTAGTGTTACTGATGAAAAGATTTGGGTCGATTTGTTAGTCTACTGATAAATATTGTTTATCTTATTTCGTTTAGTCCACGATATTTGTGTTGGTGCAGTTATCTGGTTACGTTATTAACTCCTCTCCTTCATTAAATAAAGCGGCTTTGCTTATTGTCGGAGTATTTTAGTTCTGTTTCATACAATTCATCCATTCCCTTCTTTCTGCATTCTTTACTTTGTAGCATTGGCAGATTATCTGTCAGACATACGAGTATTCCTTATCCAAAATGGAATAATATATATATTAGAAGGGATGTTCTTCGAGTGGCAACAGGTAAGTTGATAATTCTTGGATGTTAAATTTGTATACAACATTTGATTGCAAGTATGTTTATTGTAAGTAATAATGTATCCGTTTTCAAATAGCTGGAGTGGTCCGTTATTCTCATCGACCGCATCACACGTGGCTGGCTTATTATCGTACCATTTCGGCATTTTGGATCTACATCCACAAAACTATTATTTCATTCCTTAAATACAGTTTCTGTAGTAAGATGAGCAACATATATATATCGAATGTGATTATTTATTATGATACAGAGAGATGTGCGTATACGCTTTATACAAATATGGCATGACATTTACTTTCTCAGTTGAAGACTCTTAAAGAGAAGATGCTTTTTTTTTTACAAAATTTCTAAGAAATAATAACATATTTTTTTATTACAGATTAATTGTGATTCCGGCCCAGTACCAAAGTTAAAATAGAAGTTCCTTGGCTGGGGTAAGCTCAGTATATCCAGGGTGTCGAAAATAATAAGTCGCTTTTTGTCACAACAAAGTGTTTTTTTTATTAGTTCACATACATCCAACTAGACAACCTTTTACGTTACTCTCGTAAAGATCGTGATCGGTGACCGGTCTTTCCTAATACACTCTACTGCTGTCGTAAAAGATGCGGAGGTGAAACTCTCTCCACTAAACTTTGTTAAACTAAGTAACCACTCCGTTGAATATATATAATATATATACTGAGTACTCATGAAGTGGAAACCCTCAGGTGTATTACTTTTGTCGGCAATATACACGGACAAGTATACCTAGCGTCCATCTGCTGGCTAATTAAATTGTTCAACTATAATCGCTCTTTTAATGCCTTACTGGCAGGCAGAAATCTATTTTATAATAACAATTATTGTAATAAACATTTCTCTTTGTTCATTGGTGTGTATATACATGCATTCAATAAAAATTCATATTTGTCCTTGAAGGGGCTGCACAAAGTAAGGTAATATAAACATATAATTATCTGATAACTGTTTGCTTACGAAATTTCTCCTATTATATTTCTTTAAATATACACACATATATATATATATATATTATTCAATGGATATACATATGTGTAAAGTAAGGTAATTTATTGCAATATAAATATTTCAATAACAAATTGATAGAGATTAATATTATGAGTTTAAGTGATATAGACAGGCCTATTCTGTCGAAATAACTAAATTAACTTTAGTTTTAAAATTTGCCATTTAGCAGGTTTTGTTCCTATTTCGTATTTTGAGTTTACTGTCACCTTGTAAATTTTGTTATCAGCGAAATAGGAGGTAAAAAAAAATAATGTTTGATTTTGTGTTGTCAGTTGGAGAAAAAATAAAAACCAAAATGGGTACGCCTATTTTAGGCCTGGAATTCATTGAAGATGAAGATAAAAAGTTTGAGAGAAACAAATGACCCTTTTAATTTGGAAGATATCGTTTTCATTCAGCCTTTTTGTCGCTTATGCGTATATTTTCCAAAATTAAGTTCAAATGTTTATGACTTAATAAACACATAAATAAAATTTATTCACTTTGAAGTGCGCCGTCTTCCATTTCGATGTGAATATTAATCTTTTTTACTATAGCAACCAAGTTTTTTTTTAAACATTGTAACCAGCTCGCCAGAATACCAAATTCAATTTCGGGTGTTAAAAAAAAGTAACAAAATTTACTTCGCCGGTAACAGTGAGAATAAGCTTGAGAAAGTACAGTTTATTTCAAATTCTGCCCTGTTGATTTCTGACTTCGGGATCGGCCGATACGAACGTTGTTACTGATTAATGGTACCATACTTTACATATATGAGTCGTTTATTTTGAAAGTGGCTTAAATCCATTTAAAAAAAGGAGTAAATGATAACAATAATCAGAATGCTATATAATCTTTGTTTTCTAAGCATTTTAAGTCTAGTGTCATTAAAATCAATCAAAATAAAAATTTTTGAAACCGGTTTAAGTCCACTGAAGGCGTTACCCTTTCCAAAATCGTCTGTTTTCATCGCCTATTACAAACGTTATATGTACATTTACAACTGGGCAGCGAGAGGTTCCCAAAAAGTAGGCTCTTGTATACTAAAACACCTCAAAAAACTTAAAAATCAGTACCATATCATAGCTTACAGCGATATGTGCACTGGACAGAACAGGAATATAAAATTGGCATAAACATGGTTGAAAATTGTGCAAACGGCAGAAGATAATGCAGATATTATTGACCATAGGTTTTTACTATCAGGACATTCATTTTTTGCCAAATGATAGTGATTTTGGAGTGGTAGAAATGGCTTTGAGGGAAAATAATTTAATGTATGTCCTCCATGATTATTATGAAACCATAAAAATATTCAAAGGGTAACAAGATTATTTTAACTAACATGAAACGTAAAGTCTTTTTTTCTACTAAACCTTAGAATCTATGGGTCTAGGGAAGTGAGGAGTTTAACTTGATTTATAACCTTGTCGGGGAAGACCAAGGAATTTCGACAAAATAAAATCAACATTATTATACAACAATGTACGTCCCATCTGAGCTCCTAAGTATAAATATATGATGGAGTTACTGAGGTGTTTACCACTTATGCACCATAAATATTTTAACAACCTCACACATAATCTAAATGAGGAAAAATAATATGGCAAAATCTTTCCTTAATAAATGAATGTAAATTTATTTAAAAAACATAGCTTTGACTACCTATATAAATAAAATAAAAAATCTGCATTCATCTACTTCAAACAAAATATTTTTAATCTACATATATTAGTTAACTTCTTTAAAATAAGTGGACTTTTTACTTTTCACTAGCAAAAAATTCATTTTATTAATTTTGGAAGTGGTTTAAGTTCATTTTAGGTTCTAAAACACAGCTTATTTTTTAGTAAAGTTTACAAAACATGTGACGTTATATATTCTAACATGTTTAACTTCACAAAGCCAAAAAAAATTAATACCTCTTTTTGAAACAAATCAAACACAAACCCTCTCCTCACCTGTCACAATGAGACTTATCATCATCAGACCCGTCCGAGTTAACCGGACGCTGTAGCTGCGACCTTCGTTGTTGTGCGTGTGCCTCGATATAGCTTATCAAAATCTTGGGTAGATATTCAGCTCGTGGTCTTGCTTTTCTTCCTCTGACCTCGGTTTTCAAGTAACTTCATTCTTCTTTGATTCTCTCCTTACTCTTTTTGGAACATCGACGGTCCATCATCCCTTTACGATGCCGTGTTATGCCTGACTTGATATCCGACTGTCGAAAAGCACATCCGTTACGGTGTTACGATATCTCTCCCTGTAGGTCTGCCTGGTTGGTCTGTCGTTTCGCCTAACTACCTTGTGGGTAACGACATTGAACTCCCTTGGCATCTTCCTAAACGTCCTTAAGTTGTCGGTTTCCTTTAATAGTTTGATGGTGGGATAACTGGTCACGGACTTATTGTGATCGTGCGATGCTCCAATTCTCCTGCCAGCATGTTTGTGCAGATAATAGCCTCCTTTTTTCCTCTGTCGACTTGTAGCCTTTTGATTCTCCTCCGCACCGGAATTCCTCTCAGGCCTTCGCTAAGTAGTCAATTCCGATCACCATTTCGTCGATCAGCTCTGCTGGGACAAGTAACTCATTCTTGTGCACTTCGTCACCCAGTTTCATTTCTACTTCTGCGGCTTTTACTGTTTCTCTCGTCCGGCAATCACCAATCAATACTCGTACCTTTAGTTGCTTCCTCCTTGTTGCTCCAGTGCCGATCGCTGTCCAGAACTCGGTCCTGCGTCTGCGTGAGTGTTATTAATGTTCTCGAGGTGGTCTGAACTCCACCTCTTGGGGCTGATGAAGATCTCTGGTCGCTTCTCTGTAGCTTCTGGCATACATATATCATTCCTGCCGGGTTGGCGCTCTGCCCCCTTGGCATATTTCGATTTCGGTTTTCGTGTAAGTGCTGGTAGCGCTGTGCTTCACTTTGCCGAAATGGTCTTACTGTATCTTCAGACCTCCTCGGCTGCTTTCCTTTCTCGTTATTTTTGGTGTACCCGTAACTTTCTTCTTGGCCTTCATCAACGGTCAAAAACAGGTACCATTCCACACATCCTAATATGTACGAAGTGAGGCTCCTAATATAATACGTATATATATAAAGAAACAGATATTTCCTATTTGCTTACAAAATTCTGCTGATTATGTTTATACATATCTACATTCTCTCCTATTCTATTTGTTTATATATGCACATATGTATATATATATATATATATATCTAAAAATGCGATTTGGCGGCCGCGGTTGCTGAGTGATTACCATTGCGTACTGCCATTCGAAACGCTCGGCCTCAAATCTCGGTGCGACCAACATCAAAAAGTTATGGAAAATTAACTTAAATAAAAAATTAAGTTAAACTTTATAATTGCGGTCGCTCATCGGCAGGGAATGTCAATGTCAATTAGTATATTTCCGACATGAAATAAAGCTCCTTTTTAAAAAACCATTAGACGTTCTGTGGCGGCTTAGTATAAACTGTTGCATAAACATCAAAACGCAAAATCGAATTGTAGGAGGAGCTCGGCCGAAAATCGCTTCAGCGGTTAAAAAGCGCGAATTATTTATATAAAAATGCGATTTGAATAAATATGTAACAATGGTATATACGATGTACTAATGTATTATAAGTGTAAATGGATGTATATTGTTCGTTGTAAGGGCTCCTAGGATTATGTGGTGCTTACAATATGTATATACGAATGTGTATGCATTGCGCACATTGTTGCAGTTTTTTTTAATGTAATATCAAACTAAAGGTATAATTTTGTACTACAGGTTGATTGAATGTATTCAAGCCCAGCGGCGGAGCATAAACAGCAAAATTAGGTAAGTTAACGAAATATCCATATATGTACATACTTAGGTACATATGCCCGAATGTAACAGCAGTTTCAATTTATGTTTATCATAAGAGTAGTGGAATTTTCTTAATCAAGGTTTCGTCATCGTTGATAATTGACTCGATATGGCTAATACATCACCAAATCTTTGAAACAATTCCTAATCCTAAATCCCTAGAAAGCAAAATAACAAAACAACAAATAAAAAATAAAATAACAGACAGAAAACATGTTAGGTAACAGCTACCCGTCTTGCAGTATAGTTTCCAATATAGCTCTTACATTTTTCTATAGGTGTAAATAATATGCAAGGAGAAGTCAGCTGTATAAATTTCATGTTATTTGTAATATTTCGTTTTTAAATATAGTTATAACTTCATGGTTAAAGTAACAAACATGTGTATCGGCATATTCCAATAAATTACTATGAAAGAATAGCTTGTTTTGCCGCTATTACCTAATTTTTTTAGCGTGTTTTGTTGTTGTTGCTCGGATTGGATATTTATGCAATCCATGGCACCGTGCTTTGGTTATGCAGTGTCAAGAGAATACCCCAATTGTAAACTTCGGCAATTACTAAATTTTCTGATATGCCTCGAATATTATTTCAGACTTTAAATTTATTTCCTTTTGTTTATTATTGTTTTCTATCTGCATTTATAACATTGTGTTAATTTCGATTACGTCATCGTGAGCGGATGTCGTTTTCTACATTGAATTGTTATTGTGATTGTTCTATTTTTATGGCGTTTGATATCTTTGACTTTTTAGTTCTTTGAGACTATCTAATAATTCTTGTTTATTGAAATGAGAGATTTTATGCCGCCAATATGGGAAGATATATTTTAATGAAATTTCCACTGTATTATTAGAACTAAAATTTATAATTGTTTGATTTTTAAACGCGTTTTAATTTTTTGAAGTGTGGTTAATATGTTGAACAGTGCATCAGCGACAAGGTTTTGGCATCTTGGTTTGCAAACCAATTTAGTGCCATATTCTTCCATGAAGTTTTTCCAT